AGCAGCAAGAGCGTCCGCTCTCCGCTTCCTGTCGCCCGAGGGGAGACGGGCGCAGTGTGTGCATGCTACCTGCTGGTTTAGAGCCGCGTACGCGTGCTCCGACCCCAGGCAGGATTCGCATACTGCTTTTATCTCTGCTGGTCATAATTCATTATGAACCCAGAGCTACATGAGGGACAATCACGGACACAGTTGTTGTTCATGATGATTCTCAATTGCTGTGCTTCAGTAACTGTGCTGGTTTGCTGAAGAAAAGAGGGAGCAGATTGCCGGGGGTGGGGCCCACCTTGCGGGTGGGCGTGGACTACAAGTTTTCAGTGCTGCACGGGGGGCCCAGGGGGATTACTCAATAGCGATAGCCTTAGAGGGCGAAGCCATATAGCTACGAAATAGAACGACCAGGGTCGTAACAGTGTCCTTAAGGTGATCCAGACAGGCTGGACTAGAGGAGGAGAGACAGATCGGGACTCCTAACAGCAGATAACTTCAGCACGGATTCCAAGGTACACCTTTTTCATACTTTACAAATAATGCATCAAGTAATGACTCTAATACACTGATATACATGCCATTAAACATAACTAAATACTAGATCATTTACATTTGACCAAGCAACATAACTTTTTTGTTCAACTTTCACATTTCAATGTATTTAAGGCAAATATGATTGAACATAGTGAGAACTGCGACCCTTTGTCTCTGCATATTGACTGTAAAAACATGTTAAAAGTTTTGATAACAGTTACATATTATTTTAATAATCCATTTATTTCAATGTTGATTAATTTAGAACGGTTTATTCATAACCTGATTATCTTTGTAGTACACTGTTGGATTTAAAAAACACATTTAAATAAGAAAATCATTATATCTATAGCCCCTGAACAAACAAAGACAAAGACACCTCTTTCTTAAATAACAAACTTGCTCTGCAATAATATGTTTTTTGATATTTCTGTTAGGAAAGGACACGCCTGAGAGACAGGACTGCTTCACCATTTTCTCTTTCTCTGAGGGTCTAGAACAGGGGTGGGGAACCTTTTTCCTCTCAAGGGCCATTTCAATATTTTCAACATCCTCCGAGGGCCGTACAAATTATTGACCTCTGCTTAAAAAAACTAAAATCACAGCCCACTCATTTCGCCTTTCTTTCATGCTGTGCAAAGAAAAAGCAACCTCTAAATCCAGATATCTCACCATGACTCGCGCATGCATGCACGTGCACGGTTGTGGCATGACCACCAAAACAGAAAGATATGGACACAAGATGTGTGCAAATGTATTTAGACTCCTATCCATGTGAACATGATTTAAGTTGGGGGGACCTAACCTCTTCTAGGGGGGTCCGGGGGTCATGCTCCCCCGGGAAGATTTTTTTTTAAATGTTGAAGTTCAAAGCATCAATCTGGTGCACTTTGAGAGCAACATTAAGAGAGCTATGGATACATCTCTCAACACCCATATGAAACAGAACTGGAAGCAGATTTTCTTTTTCTTTATGGATATTTTACAAATCACTCCCCTTTCAAACTGTATTCTTGTTTATTAATAATAACTTTTTTTACTGTCATATAGTATTTTATACCTGTTTACTTTATTCTCTTATTTTTTTATAACTATAATGATCATATAAAGATGTGCCTTTACCTCACTGGTTGTAGAAAAAGCTTCTTATATTCGTTAGCATAGCTAGCTAACCAGATGCTAATAACAACAAAGTTATTGACTGTATGATCAGTATGACAGATGAACAGATCGCCACTGGGCTTTCAACTAAAGACACAGACACGCAGAAACTGCGGCATGTGTACGGCTCCTTATGGGTACTGCAATTTTTGGAAGTGCCGGAACGGAGCTGCGTTCTGGTGCTCACTGCTCCCCGTCAGAACCATGGATGTATAATAAGGGTCAGAACCTTATTATACATCCATGGTCAGAACTGCACCTCTGTCAGACGAGACATATACCACGTGATGACAAGTTTTAGGCTTGTGTTGTGTTCAAGGACCCTGACTTTAGCCAGGAAAAACAGTTATTCACTTGTTTAATTATTTTGCGGTCTAGATTTCTTTAATTTTTTGCGTGTGTTTATAAATTACCTCGAGGGCCACACCAAATGGTCTCGCGGGCCGTATACGGCCCGGGGGCCGGAGGTTCCCCACCCCTGGTCTAGAAGAACATCCAAGAGGGAAAGGAGAAGCTGATGATTTAAGAGCACAGGACATTCACTAAGAGACACTTATATTGTAACACTGACTAGTTTTGTAGTCTAACAGGAACTTCATTTTTGTGTTTTACATTGCACCTCAGAGAAAGTGTGATTATTGTCAGGCCTATAAAGTTTGGTCAGTCAGCTGATCAAATGCATTTGCCTCACTTTATGAGCTTCACAATACTTGTGCCTTCTACCGCAGAGTTTGCAACGTCACAAATAAATGGTACCAATCTTCAGTCAGATGTGAATGTGTAATTTAACATTTCAGTAAGAATAACGGACAAAAGGAGAGCATATACAATGTATTGAAATGTGAACTAAAAGTTATCAAGCATGAACCATCACCATTTTTTTTTTTAAATAACGAAATAATATACATAAATAATATACATAAATTACACTAAATGTTAATCTGTTAATTGACAGACTAGGCCTGTGCAGGTGGTAACAGCTATGCCCAGCATGGGCTAAGTTCTGTAGGTGCAGCCGTATGGAGTCAGATTTGGGTCAATATTCTCGCGCGTAAAACAAGCTACTCACGAGCAGAAAATGTGCTTTTACACGCGCATAAAATGACCCTCGCGCGCAGATTAAACCCCCGCGGGCGCAGAGCCGCTAGTTCAGAGACAGCCCTCTTGCTTGCTCCCGGGAGTGTCAGCCTCGCGGAGTCTGTCTACGCACGCGTGAAAAGTTTCTGGCACTTTGGGGCGGAGCCACTGGACTTTGATTGACAGCTGCCAGGAAACCCCGGGTTGCCAGGTTTGATAAATGCCTGAACTGCCAAGAGCCGAGCAGTGACGGCAGCAAAATCAGTTGGACGAGATTGAATGGTAAAGTTGTCCATAAAAAACTATTATATTCGTAAAGTGTACAGCTAATATATATATATATATATATATATATATATATATATATGATTCTGTTTTCTTCAAGGTTGTGTCTTCCTGGTCGAATGTACTTATTGTAAGTCCCTTTGGATACAAGCGTCAGCTAAATGCAATGTAATGTAATGTAATATACATTAATTTGATATAAAACAATATATTTTTCAGTGGGCTGTGTCCGTCGAAAACTGCTAGCTACTGTCTGCTGTACGCACCTAGATTTAGCTACCGTCACTGCTCGGCTCTTGGTAGTTCAGGCATTTATCAAACCTGGCAACCCCGGGTTTCCTGGCAGCTGTCAATCAAAGTCCAGTGGCTCCGCCCCAAAGTGCCAGAAACGTTTCACGCGCGCGTAGACAGACTCCGCGAGGCTGACACTCCCGTGAGCAAGCAAGAGGGCTGTCTCTCTCGCGAGCGAGCGCAGAGCCGCTCGCGGGGGTTTAATCTGCGCGCGAGGGTCATTTTATGCGCGTGTAAAAGCACATTTCCCGCCCGTGAGTAGCTTGTTTTACGCGCGAGAATATTGACCCAAATCTGACTCCATACAGCTGGTGCAGGTCCTCCTCCCTCAACACACTCTCACTCCATAATCGTCCAGGAGCGACGTTTGGTCAGTGTCCGTGGCGTCCAGTTGTGACGCTCCTAGGCTCCTTCAGCTTCATAAAGGGACGCAAATAGCTTTCAACTTGCAATGTATTCCCATCTGCGGCGGGATTTGACGCTCATGGAAGCACGGCATTCGTTTGTGTCGGCTGCCTTTAAAGGCAATGTGAGCGTCCATTCCCATTGGATAACGGAGCATTGTACCCCTTACTGTCGATTGATTTTACAGTGATATCTGCACTACTCATCGACTAAAAAACACCAGATTATCCTTGTTAATTACACAACATTGATTGGTTTAAATTGTGTGCAATGCTTTTGTATTTTTCCCCTTCGATTCGGAGAAACAAATATTTTTTCGGAGTAAAGGATGGCAGAAGACACTACACTACCCAGAATCCCCAGCTATCGTTTAGGACTACACCATGTGCTCTGTTTGACAAACCCCGTGATTAGTTCTCAAACTCTGTGATTGGTTGACCTCCAACTGCATTCCATATGAAAAAAATCGTTTCGTAAAAGATAAAATCATACTTTATTCAGCAGTGCTTGCTTTACTCTTTGAAAGTCATCACATGAATGCATTGTAATAAATGGTTCGGCTGCATTAAATATGTTACACATCTGTCGTAGTTCTTTATTTTTATTTATCTACAGAGATCGTGCTCAGAATAGATAAAATACTCAATGAGAATGGGGGAAAGACGGGCCGGCAGCAACACACAGCAAATAATTTCCGAAACTAAACGAAGTGTTTTTATTTATTTATTAAAATGATAACTACAATCCAAAAAAACAGGGGCAGCTTGGCTTCCCTTGGCCTCCAGGAGAAAACGCCACTGCTTGTACACCCGTCTGTTTCTACAAACTGCATTGCTTGAGCATACAGCGGTGGATCTAGAACATTTTACAGTGACAAGAGGTCATGCAGGGTGGTATATAAATAATATGCTATTTAAGGCTGTAAAACAATAAAATATAACGACCAACATCGTGTTTTTTATTGCCACTTTCATGTGAGAGTTAGTCAGAAATGGATACACAACAAAATAAAAGCAGTAAATACTGAATTATATACACAATATATACAGCACGTTATTATGATATATTAAAAAAAATGCAATCATATCTTTACTAAAATTTAGCATGACGTCTCACATTGTATTTCAGTTATCGGTAATGTATCCAGAACACTGTTGTATTATCGAGACAGTGAAACAATCAAATGTTCTTCCCATTACACTTGAACGCAGCACGCATTCAGCTTCTAATGTGGTGGTTTCTGATTGGCTCTTTGGCAGGAAGTGAAAATACTTCATTCTCAGGGATGATGCGAGAAATTCACAGGGTTTCTCCTTCATTTAGTTATAATTTAGATTTCTGTGATAAAGTTTTGAATGGAATATAATACGGCTGTATTAACTGCATGTGCTCAGTTTGTTTTATTATGTTTTATTGGGATAAAAGCAGCTGAACCGTCGGGAGGCGGATGGTGAGTCGAGTCGACACTGAAAAACTGACATAGCCTATGTGTGAAGTTATTTTAACATAATGTTTTTATTTGACCATTTTATCTCTTGCACTACACGCAACATGTTGCCTAGTTCAGCCCTCATACTCTGACCGAGCTTTACACCGAATCCCATTTAAAATGTTGTCAGTTTACCAAGTCTTCCCTAAAACTTAAACACTAGGAGAAGTTTTTTAAATTACTATTAGTGAATCGTAAATAAGTATTTTCCCGAGTTGTGTACTTATTAGGCATGTGCATTTTTCGAATATTTAGGTATTTGTACCATCAAGGGAAATGTTGTACTTTTTACTGCACGACATTTTTTGACATTTACTTAAACAACCACCTTCCTTATGTGATATGATGCCGTAATACTACCTACTGTTTTTTTAATATTGTAAGTACATTTTGTTGATAAATCGTTTTTTTTACTTGAACTGACTCTGGATTATACATAATACATTGCAACACATGCAAAGTGTCTCACACATCCGTCCTGACACCTGCTGTTACTCTAACACCAAGCTCCATTTACAAATCAAGCAGATTTTAACACCTGAAGCAATTTCTCACTTTACCTGAAGTGGAAACTAACTGAGTACACTGCAGGGTGGATTGAATAATAATGGAATCATTGGAATAAACTGCAAACTGAAATGTTTATTACGACAGCTCAAGTGATTTGAGCAGAAAGTTTCATGATTCAACTGACCAAACTCTTCTTAACTTGATTCCAAAATAAAATAAACACAAGTTTAATAATGTTTTGTATACAATTACCACAGTGTCTAATATGTCTTTTTCTGAATAGAAGATTTGTTTTGTTCTTATGTTCATGTATGTTGTGTGTTCAGGTCTTCAGACTCAGGCTTCAGACTACAGGATGAAGGAAATTGTAACATCGACATTTTGGACGGCTTTTCCCTCTCACATCAACAGTTCATTGAAAGGTACGTGTAGTATTAACATCTCCTAAATATCTCCTAAATATCTCAGAGCTGCCATCCACGGAAGACCTTTACTCCCAGCGGCTCAGGAAGAAAGATTATCAAAGACCCCCATCACCCCAGCCACAAACTGTTCTGTCTGCTGCCGTCTGGCAGGCGGTACCGCAGCATCCGGGCTAAAACCACCAGACTCAGAGACAGCTTCATCCCACAGGCCAGAAGACTGTTAAACACCTGAACTTAGAACATCCATAACATTCACCAGTTTTTAACTTACAAATGATGTATCACTTGTATAGATTCTTATGGCACTACTTCTATTCTATTTTATTGTATTTACTTGCATCATTTTATCTGTGTTATTGTGCACTGTTGGAGGAGCCTGGGACCTCAGATTTTCATTGTCATAACTACTCTGTAGCTCTGTACGAATGACAATAAAAGCCTTGAATCTTGAATCTTAATGCATTAATAATGCCCCTAAAATATGTGATCACTTTAGTCAAATACTGATGTAAAATTCGATTGTTGTTCAAAGTTATCCACGGATTGAACATGATTGTGACACCCCCATTCTATGGAAAATAACTGAATGTAGGTTTAGCTTAAATCATATTTTCTCCAAAAGGCTTATCTATATTGCTACTAATAGACAAAGGTCATACATACCAAGTTTTGTCAAACATGTTTGTGTCTTTGAAAAAAAGCATAAAACACCAGTTTTACATGTTTTTTTGTGTCAAATTTATTTAGAAATTCTCAGTCGCCAAATCGTATCAATTGTATTTATGTTTTAAACAGCATCTATTTTTTGTACAACTTGAAACTGTTACTGTAAGTAGTTCAGGTTTGAAAAATGTTTCCTTTCGTCTTTGCTTTTAATGTTTACTTTATTGTAATTACCATCCATCCATCCATCCATCTTCTCCCGCTTATCCGTGGTCGGGTCGCGGGGGTAGCAGTTCCAGCAGAGAGCCCCAAACTTTCTTTTCCCTGGCGACATCAACCAGCTCTGACTGGGGGATCCCAAGGCGCTCCCAGGCCAGCGAAGAGATATAATCCCTCCACCTGGTCCTAGGTCTACTCCTTGGTCTCTTCCCAGCTGGACGTGCCTGGAACACCTCCCTAGGGAGGCGCCCAGGTGGCATCCTAACTAGGTGCCCGAACCACCTCAACTGGCTCCTTTCGACGCGAAGGAGGAGCGGCTCAACTCCGAGTCCCTCCCGGATGACCGAACTTCTCACCTTATCCCTAAGGGAGACACCAGCCACCCTGCGGAGAAAACCCATCTCGGCCGCTTGTATCCGCGATCTCGTTCTTTCGGTCATGACCCATCCTTCATGACCATAGGTGAGGGTAGGAACGAAAATGGCCGGTAGACAGAGAGCTTTGCCTTCTGGCTCAGCTCCCTTTTCGTCACAACGGTGCGGTAAAGCGACTGCAGTACCGCTCCCGCTGCTCCGATTCTCCGGCCCATCTCACGCTCCATTGTTCCCTCACTCGAGAACAAGACCCTGAGATACTTGAACTCCTTCACTTGGGGTAAGGACTCATTCCCTACTTGGAGTGGACAGTCCATCGGTTTCCTGCTGAGAACCATGGCCTCAGATTTGGAGGTGCTGATCCTCATCCCAGCCGCTTCACACTCGGTTGCGAACCGATCCAGTGAGTGCTGAAGGTCGCAGACCGATGAAGCCATTAGAACCACATCATCTGCAAAAAGCAGTGGTGCAATCCTTAGTCCACCGAACTGCAGACTCCCTCCCCCATGACTACGCCTCGAAATCCGATCCATGTATATTACAAACAGGATTGGTGACAAAGCCCAGCCCTGGCGGAGGCCAACCCTCACCGGAAATGTGTCCGACTTACTGCCGAGGACCCGGACACAGCTCTCGCTTTGGGAGTACAGAGATTGGATGGCCCTGAGTAGAGACCCCCTCACCCCATACTCCCGCAGCACCTCCCACAGTAACTCCCTGGGAACTCGGTCATACGCCTTCTCCAAGTCTACAAAACACATGTAGACCGGATAAGCGTACTCCCAGGCCCCCTCCAGGGTCCTTGCGAGAGTAAAAAGCTGATCCGTCGTTCCACGACCAGGACGGAATCCGCATTGTTCCTCCTCAATCTGAGGTTCGACAATCGGCCTGACCCTCCTTTCGAGTACCTTAGAGTAAACTTTCCCGGGGAGGCTGAGTAGTGTGATGCCTCTGTAATTGGCACACACCCTCTGATCCCCCTTTTTAAAAAGGGGAACCACCACCCCGGTCTGCCACTCCTTCGGTACTGTTTCCGACTTCCACGCAACATTGATGAGACGTGTCAACCATGACAGTCGCTCAACACCCAGAGCCTTCAGCATTTCCGGGCGGATCTCATCCACCCCCGGGGCTTTGCCACTGTGGAGTTGTTTGACGACCTCAGTGACCTCCCCCCGGGAGATTGGTGTTGATCCCCCGTTATACTCCAGCTCTGCCTCTAACATAGAGGGCGGAGTTGTCGGGTTCAGGAATTCAGGAGTCCTGTAATTAGCATAACTTTTTTAAATGTATAAACACCATTATCATATAATCAGTTTGCTCATTTGAAAAACAGCCTCTCTGTAAAACATGCAGAAACACTGAAAGTTGTCTTAAAAAACGACATTTACATTATTTCCATTTTGTTTCCTCATCATTCGTCCTGATTTCTGAATGAAACCCTGCTGATTCAAGTGTTTCCTCAGATATGCGTACAGCAGACCGGTGATCCTCAGAGGTCTGACTGACAACACGGTGCGTATTTTGAACACGTGCAAGTACATCATGTTACTGCATTTCTCCTTGATGCATCCATTATGCACATACTGTAGACTAGAGGAAGTTGTCAGTAGGATTTTATTGTGTGTATTTTCAGGATGTTGTATTTAATTTAGCACATTCCTCCATCACACAACTTGTTTTCATTTAGATATACTCTACTTTTTCTTCACACTAATTTCTCATATCTTTATTTTATTATTCATTTTTGTATATTTATGTTTCTTGCACTAATTCTTGATTTTTTTGCCCTATTATATTTTTGATAATATAAATGTTTCCATCTCTGTGAATTGTTTTGAATGAAACTGACATATTACAACAAAAAACAACTCCTTTCTTTTTGATCTGAAATGACAGCTGAAAGTCACCATTTGAAACCTCAACAAGTGTTTAAAAAGTGACAGGTGGGCAGAACGTGCCCCTCTGTTATTACTTAGATAAAGAATCGGATCAATACTTTCAGAGGTTCAGGTCGCTGTGCTCCAAGGCCAGTTTGTTGGAAGAATACGGCGCCCGCAAAGTTCGTCTCAGCACAGCGAACACGTTCTCTTACAGGAAAGGTAACTGACAGTCTGCATGTACCCCGCAGGGTTTGTTGTTGTTTATTTATTGTTTATAAGTGATTATTTTGTTCCAGTGGACATCCCTCTGCAGGAGTATGTGGACGATCTGCTGCGGCCGCAGTCTGCAGACGCACTCGGCAGCGGTGAGTTCAAAGAGTATTTACTTTTATTTTTAAATATGTTTTATTTGTGTATGTCCTATATACATTATGTTGCATTGTGGGAGGAGCTTGGGACTTAAGATGTTATGTCTGTGAATATGACAATAACGCCCTTGACCTTGACACTTGACCTCTGGAGGATTCAGCTTTAGTTCGGGAACCGTCATGCATTTAAAAAAATAAATAAATAACTCTAACTGTGGATTTTCTTGAACTTTAAATATAATTAAGTTAGTTTTTTTTATTAAAGTCATATACAATACTAATATGTAACTGTGAATGCAGTTAAATACAATATAATAATAAATAAGATAGTGTACTGTCACAAACTAGTGACAAAAAAAAATCTAAATAAGATAAACTGTCGTAGTGCTACAACCTACTGAATATTATACATATGTATTATTATTATTATTATTATTATATTATACATGTTAAAGACATTCTGAGAACAATTCATTATATCAAATGTGTCGTAGTGATCTGCCACAACCTACTGAAATGGCCGAACATATATTTAAATCAAGTATCTTCCACATCATTGAGTCGGTAATGCTGCAAACAAAAGGGGGGGTGTGTTGGATTTCTACCAAAACACAAAACCAGAGCATTAACTTGTGCCAGAACAATTGTTCCACCTCCGATATCTTGTCTTAATAATTCAAATATTGGAAAGCCAAAATCTTAATGAAAAAGAAGTGGATCAACTTCAAAAACAATGTGTGTTTAGCCTTACTTGAAAGAAGGATTTGAGGATAAATACGGAGCCCTGGAGGGTTCATAGAGAGAAAAATAAATAAAACGTGGCCACGTTTTACTTTCTCGTGCGCACGCTTTAGTAACTCGTGCGCACGAGTTACTAAAGCGTGCGCACGAGTTACTAAAGCGTGCGCACGAGTTACTAAAGCGTGCGCACGAGTTAATAAAGCGTGCGCACGAGTTAATAAAGCGTGCGCACGAGTTAATAAAGCATGGCCTCGTTTTGTGTGTGTGTGTGTGTGTGTGTGTGTGTATATGGGGGGGGGCATTTGTTTATGATAGTATCGTTCGTTCCGGTGCACATCGAGATTAAGATTAAACACGTTTCTTTCACTTGGGAATACACTTAACTATGGGGAACCAGATTTGTTTAAAGTACTGTTCGTGGTAATTTGAAAAAAAATGCCGGTGGTGTCGGATACACACGAACACGCACACAGAGCGGAGCTGAGCACACACACACACATCATGCGCCCCGGTGACAGGACATCTCCTTCATAAAGCGAGGGGGAATACTCTGGTAGTTCGATGTGTGTATAGGTGTGTGTGGTTAAACGTAGCAGCCTCGATCTCTATTCAGCGGTTCTAATGAAGGGAAACGCAGTGAAGTAAACAGTAAAAGGCACAGCTCTTTGCAGCTGGTGCTGCTCTTCTCAGATTCTGCTGAGTTACACGTTACTGCCTCCAGTGCCCTGTACGACGAAGCCAGTTCAACAGACCCTGGACCTGAATATGTTCGATTTACCCGGCTTAACTGACCCTAACAAACGCGATGTCGATAAGCGGTCCTACGAAGCTGGTTATCAACTCAGTAAATCAACCAGGGTTTCTCTGTCCGGCTGAGAGCGCGCTCAGGTGAAAGGGACGGGGTTAGCAACATTTGACCAATCACAAACATGGAGACGCGTGCTGACAGCGCAGCGTCATACTTCATGAATGAATAGTGTAAATAGCCAATCCTGCTTCGTAGTACAGGCCACTGGTGCCGCTGAGATTTCATAAAGTGAAGGAGGTTTTCCTTCTATAAAACAGCTGTGGGCAGCAGATACTGTGAGTCACGGACAGGAATCCCTCAATTTAAATAAAACGAGGCCACGCTTTATTAACTCGTGCGCATGCTTTAGTAACTCGTGCGCACGAGTTACTAAAGCGTGCGCACGAGAAAGTAAAACGTGGCCACGTTTTATTTATTTTTCTCTCTATGAACCCTCCAGGGCTCCGTAGATAAAAGATGTTTTGTGTGTATTTAAAATCTTTTTCAGGCCTAGTTTCAGAGTTTTGAATGTGACTCACCACCAGTAATGAACCCTGTCTCAGTTAGAGGTTCTGCAGGTGGATATATGCAGATTTCTTCTCCTTTTCAGAGTACTTTATCCACCTCTGGGTTTTATTTAATTTAAATGTTACCAGGAAATCAATTGCATCAAATGCAAAATGTTGCCTAGCATAGCATAGCCCCGAGACCGGCTGCTACTCGCACCAAACTCAATTTCAAAATCTGTCAATTTAACATGTAACTTGAAAACAGGCACCTTTAAACACTTAAAGCACATTTTTACCAGTATAATAAATGATTCAGGATTTTGTGATGGATTATTGAAATCATCATATATAAACATAGTGTTTCTACTTTGACTCTTCTTCCATGTCTGCACACAGAGCTTTATATTGATGTTTCTCTTCCTGCAGAGACGCTGTATTTCTTTGGAGACAACAACTTCACAGAGTGGCAGAGTTTGTTTGAGCAGTACGAGTCTCCCCCGTACGTCCTGCCTCGCACCAGCGGAGCGTACAGCTTCGGGATCGCAGGTTCGTTCTACAAATCACACCCAATGCTGCAGAATGTCAACGTGTGGCCTGTTAGTCCTACGCTGGTTGTGATGTCAAACGTTTAAACACATGCATGCAAATACTCCTAAGGATGAAATAATCTACAAAGATCATCAACGATAAATCATTTAGTCTCTTTTGGTCATCAAAAGATTTATATAAATATTGTTTCTCTGCTTCGTTTTTGGTCTCGACCTAGAGAAAATGTCATCATGTTCTACATGAAGGAATGATGTTCCACTTTAGCTGAATGCAATGTGGCCAAAGCCTATTGGCCAAAACAATAAAAAAAATAAAGAACTTTAAAAAGTTGCTGTTTTTTTAAGCTAAAGTACTAGCAGTGTTATCGCTGTTCTGAGTTAGTACTTTTGATTGCACTTTATCTCAGTTACTTTGAATAAAAGTGTTTCTTGGATTTGATGAGATTTTCTCTGTTGTTTACTATGTTTCTCTATTTCTTTGAGCTCCTTGATGTCATTCTTTTGTTTCACTTTTCTTAATGTTACTTTTTTCTTTCTTTTTTTCTCCTTAACTTGACTGTAAAATTCCTGCCTCTATAGCCGCGTTCACACCGCAGTACATTTCCCACAAAGGTTCACCAGAACTTAGTTCATGAGAACTATTTAGTTCTCATGAACTAAGTAGCCTACAGATCGCGTTCACACCGGAATAAGTCCCTGGGGGAGGATTACCCCTCGATTCCACCAGGTCCGTCTGCGTCGCGGTTTTGGTCCGGCCTCCTCCGGCGTCATACCCTACTGGGCGCGTTTCAGAAGCGGAGCGTCTTGCCTGCCGGCTCGCAGTTTTTGTTGATTTGGGCATATTTCCTGCACAGGCTACTTTGTACAGACAAACATGAATCTACATGAATCAAAGATGTGTTGCTGTATTTTAGTGGTAAAAAATGCATTCATCATCATAATTATTCTATATATATATTTGACACAGTGCCTGTAAACCGGAGGAGAACGCTGGTATTTCTCCTCCTACTTGAAAGACTACGGAGGGATACATTTGTTTATTTTGGGGATGGGCTGGATGCTCTGACCGATCCACTTCCTGCCCGGCGCCTCTGCAACGCTTCGTGTCGAAAAATAGACTTGAATCCTATTTTGAGCGGAGCCCAGCGCATAGACGCTTCTGGGACGCTTCTGAGCCGTAACGCGGCGCGTCTGGTGGAATAGCACCCATTGACTAGAGTGGCCACGGTCTTTGCGAACGCCGCGGCGCCATATCGTAACGCGTCCGTAACGCGTCCGTAATGCGTCCGTAACACGACGCAGACGGACCCGGTGGAATCTAGGGGTTACGGTCCCTACACACGGCGGGGTGCGTTGACGCTTCAACGCTTCTGCCCATTCACTTTGAATGGGTTGACGTCACGCTTCGCCGAACTGCATTGTGGGAGCAAAGCGTATTGTTCTACTTTTGAAGCCTCGAAGCTTCAGCCAATCGAATCATATGCCAGTACAAGCTCTAGCCAATCAAACTGCTGCTTGTGTGTCCGGGGTGGGAGATTCAGGTGATTGGTTGTTGGTCTAGCTTCAGACATGCCCGCCGGCAAGCTTCAACGCACGCCGCCGTGTGTAGGGGCCGTTAGGCAAATGAAGATGATGCTGACGTCACATCTTCTTCTTCTGCTTTGGGCTTACTGGCAGGCCGCAAACCACTTCACGGCGTATACTGCCACCCGAAGTCCCCGGCCGGAAGTCCCCGGAGTTGGGGACTGGCTTCAGTAGAAGCTGCTGGGAGTCCCAGCAGCTTCTACTGAAGCCTTCAGAGTAAATCGCCAGAACGCCGACACCTCCTCATCTCCACCACTCCCACGTTTTCTTTTGTGTTGCCATAAGTTAGTCTCTCTGCGTTTGTGCGCTGGGCTAATGCTAATGCTATTAATTCAATGCGAGGATAATAAAATGGCGGCTTCACAAAACTTTTTGGGAGTTTTACGGGGCGTGGTTTGCAATCCGCCCAGCCAATCAGACACAGGAACCTTTTTCTCCCACGAAAGTCCCTGCTCTCTAGCAGGGACGGAAAAGGGGGTAAAAAGGTTCTCATGAACTCATTTTTGTTCTGGATTTTTTTGGTGTGAACGCGACATTTCGGAACTAACTAAAGTGGGAAAAGTACTGCGGTGTGAAAGCGCCTATTGTTTGCTTGTTAATTATTTTCAGCAGTGTTATGTGTTGAATAAAAACTTTCAGATCCTGGTTTGTGTCCTCAGGTCCTGGGACCGGCGTCCCCTTCCACTGGCACGGCCCCGGTTACTCTGAGGTCATCTATGGCAGAAAGGTTCTTATTTGTTCAGTTCTCTGCACGTCATGCTGATTAATTTAATCTGTGTTAATATCCTGAACGTGTTGACACAGATAAACATCTTGTTTACCTTATGTTGCCACAGCGATGGTTCCTCTACCCGCCGGACAGGGAGCCTCATTTCCACCCGAACCGCACCACCCTGTCCTGGCTGAGGGACACGTACCCCCACCTGCCTGAGGAGGAGGCTCCGCTGGAGTGCACCATCAGGCCTGGAGAGGTGAGTCTGTTTTACTCAGACTAAAAACAGCAGAGAGCAGATTTTTAAATACATTTCCATTCAGTACACTAAGAAACCTTTTTTGCAGAGCATTAAAGAAAGAGAAAAACACAAGCAAGCATGAAAACAATGCAGGTTTTAAATACTTCAAAAGCGTAATAAGTAGCTGTGCAAATGTTTTATGAGAAATTAAATGTACTCAACACATTGGACAAAGCCCAAGGATACAGACATTATTTTAGCTGAAACATCACTCAACATTTCTGTTAGGACTACTGATGCTCTCTGTGAAGAAAAACATACAAAAACAATAAATAAATGTAAAATAAATGATCTTTACCTGCAGTTTAACATCGTCATCTTTTTCTGGCTGGCCAATACAAAGTTAGAACAATTTGGATAAAAACTGTGGGCAAAAGAGTGAATATGTGTTTATTCCTGAAATAGAAAATGAAATTAAGTCAAGAAAAGAAAGCAGCAAATCTCCATTTAAGAGGCTGAAAAAACTGAACTTAAAAACATTTTTGCATGAAAAATGACTTGTTAATATAATTCTAAATATGTTTGCAGCTCTGCTGTCTGAGACTCATTGTTTTGGTTGTTTCTCCGTCAGGTTCTGTATTTCCCCGACCGCTGGTGGCACGCCACCCTCAACCTGGACACCAGCGTCTTCATCTCCACCTTCCTCGGCTGAACTTCTCCTTCGTCGCTCTCTTCAGCCGTCCAAATTCATTTTATTTAATTAAATTAATGGCGGCTGTTACATCACTTTGTCTCCATCTGCAGACTGACTGAAGAAAAACAAATGATTGTAATTCATGTTTGAGCTGCAAGTTTCAGGTTCATATTTGAGTCTAAAGAAACACACTTACATTCCAGGAGAATCTTTTTAGTTTTTCCTAATAATGATAAAGCAATAAAAAGTATTTAATTAATAGTATTTAATGCCCAAACAAGCTGTCGGGATCAGATGGTACTACATTTTAATATTATGTCATATCATTTGTATCACTCTTTCTTGAAGCACACGTTGGGGAATAAAGATGGCTGCCAGTCAAATGTTTGCAGATTATTTAGGTGGTTCTTTCAACAGATAAACGATAATGTGTTGTTTGCATCAAAACTCAAGATGCAAAAATCAATTTGTTTTCATTTATTTGTTCATACATTCAGTGAGTAAAAAATTAAAAAAGCGGTTTGATATTTTCATTTTAAAGGATAAGAAATGTGTTTGAGTATAAATTATTTGAACACACATCTATTTAATGCTTAATTTAAATAGTAAAGGCAGTCAAACTAGGTTTGGTGTCATTCTTAATATTTCCACTAGATGTCACCAACGGGAGACATTTTAAAATCAATGAACAATAATATATCAATCAGCCTTAACATTATGACCACTGACAGGTGAAGTGAAGAACATTGATTATCTCGTTACAATTGCACCTGTCCGTGGGTGGGTGGGATATGTGGCAGCAAGAAGATAAACTGCTCTGTTTCATTGCAAGGCAGGTTAAAAGAAAAACGTAGTCAGTGAAGATACAAAATGCCTTATTTGCAGATATCCAAATAAATACTGTTACGTGATCTAAATATTTCTTGTAACTGCCAGAAAGATAAGAAAACATCACCCTTGAATAGGTCACCAAGTAGGCTACGTGAATGATTAATTTCCTATAATAAAAATATTTTACTGAGCTGTTGAACCCATATAAATGTATTCTGACTCATCAGTGTCACCTATAGTTCAAAATCCGGATTTTCCTGCATGCACCAGCAGTGGCGTTTTCTCCCGGAGGCCAAGGGAAGCCAGGCTTCCCCTGTTTTTTCGGATTGTAGTTATAATTTAAATAAATAAATACAAACACTTTGTTTTGTTTCGATAATTCTCCTTTGCTGTGTGTTGCTGCCGGCCCGGCTCTCCCCCATTCTCATTGATTATTTTACAAAGAGTGAAACAAACAGCGCCCCTCTAGATGTTATGGTGAAACAGTAGATTGCACTCACTGTTGCGAGAGGAGGCCAGCCGAATCTAGCTTCCCTTGGTGAAAAAAAATGGAGGGATTGACCAATCAGATGAGGCCCACGTGATGCCCCTGCCAACCTGTGATTGGTCAGGGCCATGCCAAGGGAAGCTAGCCGCCTCTTGCTTCCCTTCAGAGGCGGCTGGCGGCTGGCGATTTGATTGGACACTGCCATCCAATCAAATCACATCAACATCAGTTTTAATACTGTAACTGTCATCACCGCCGTTAGAAATTATCAAGCAAATGAAGTATTATGGAGGGTGGAGATTTGGCGTACTTAATCAAACATAACTTTACTAAACTTCCGCTACAGCAGCAACTACAAATTAAATCAGATGACAGGCCAATGCCCGCACTCGAGCTGTGTACGCAGAGGAAACAGGGAGAGAATCGGACGTTCAATGAGGACAATTATGTCCGCACGGAGTGGCTAACTGGAAGCGCTAAACTTCAGCGTCTAATTTGCTGGCCATGTCTTCTTTTTGACAAGGATTCGTGCTCCCTGAACAATCCTTGGGCAACTTCAGGATTCATCGACCTTGCCAACCTGTCACGGGCAATTGAGAGGCACGGTAAATCCAAAAATCACATAGATTGTGTGATTGTCTGCATACATTAATAAGTAAAATGCTTAAATTAATAAGGAGAGAGTTTCAGCTGGAGAGTGCGTGCGGACCTGTCGGTTAGATAACAGGCGTGTGCAAGTCCTGCATCTGTGTGATACAAATGTGTGTCAAATGATACCGGGCGCTGTAATCACTCATCTGGTTACGTTATTGACCACCCCCCGACCCAAAAAATGGGCTTCCCCTACATTTTTCCCCACGCCACGCTACTGTGCACCAGTTCATCTGTGTTCTCTTTGTGGAGGGACAGGTGTGCATGCGTGCGCTCCGGTGCGCTCGCGCTTTTGTGCGTGCTCTATAGTGCCCGTAATAAGAGGTTTCTCAATTCTTAAATGTCCCCTCCTCGACTCCAATCCTCGATACTTAGTCCCGCCCACAGGAGATGCGACCGGAGGACTGTGGAACCGAGGAGAGAGGAGGGAAGCAGCAGGCGGTTAGAGAAATGAGAACTCCTCTCCTCTGAGCGGTCATTTTAAAGAGACGTCCATTAATGATGACAGGAGGCACAGCAGCCCTCTGTCTGATGGACACATGTGTTCATGACCACTTATATTTACTTTGATTAATTGACAGTGCGGTATTAATGAGAGAATAACAGCCTACAGATGCGGACACACACACACACACACACACACACACACACACACACACACACACACACACACACACACACACACACACACACACACACACATATATTTATACAATTTCAGAATCAAACAAGTATGAGAGCACTCATAATAACGTAACACAATCAGAGACGATATCCCCCCCCCCCTCTCTCTCTCAGCCCCATTTCGGGTTAGCAATGGTGTCAGACAAGGTGGAATGATGTCCCCAGTTCTTTTTAACCTTTATATTGATGATCTGTCCAAGCGACTGAAAGCCTGTAATACTGGATGCATGATTGGTAGTACTCTCTAGTGAACCATATTATGTATGCAGATGATCTTGTTGTGCTGAGTCCATAGCGCTGGTCTCCAGCAGCTTCTTGCTGTTTGTTCTGTGCGGTGTGGAACATGACATCAAATACAACGCCAGTAAGAGTGCTGTCATGATCTTTAGAACCAAAGAGGATAAATGTTTAAATTGTCTGATATTAATCTTAGTGTCTGTAATAAGTTAAAATATCTTGGACACTTTATTACAGAACAAATGACAGATGATGAAGATATGTATAGGCAATGCCGCATGATGTGCACAAGCAAACATTCTCCTACGTAAGTTTAGTGCGTGTACAGATGAGCATATTGCACACCGCTCTATACGGCACATTTGTGGCCAAACTACAGAAAAGCAAGTTTACGGAAACTTCAAGTAGCTTATAATGATGCCATGAGAATATTGCTGAAGAGACCTCGATGGTCTAGTGCAGTGGTTCTCAAACTTTTTTCAATCATGTACCCCCTTTGAAAAAAAAATGCAGCCACGTACCCCCTGATCAGCGCAACAACAATTTGTTAAGGAAAAAATGCCTATATAAAGAGGTACAGTACAGCGCTGCACCATCAGAGTCTGATGTATTATAACAACAACATTGTAACTGAGAAACACTTCAATGCTACATTTCAAATGTTAACATCATGCAATAACACTAAGACGGCATTAGTTGCATTGAACTGATCTTTTTAATAAGTTGTCCTTACAATGTATAGTGAAACATGGGCTTGTGCTTCACTGAGGATCTTTGTTATTCTGACAGGGAGGCCACTGTAGTTATTACACTTTGCGTTTTGAAATATGTGTAACTCTGTTAATATAAAACCCACACTGCTCAAACTTCGTTACTTTTCCTAAAATTTGTATATTTATTTATTTTGGGGCGTGGGGAATGAAGAGAAAAAAATATATGAGCATTTTATGAGCATGGGATTTTGACCCCTCATATAAGCATATGCATAATGCTGCGCTATACTTTGCGGCCACACGCCGTTGTCAAGCAACGCTTATTATTTAGGTCCTTTTGATAAGCAGGCAGTCATATAATTAACTAGAACTAGCTAGATCTGATAGATTTGGACATAAACGAGAGTGAAGTCTAACCGGACGGGAGAGAGAGATGAGATCAGATCAGCTGCTGCTGACGGAGAACACGCAGCTCTGCAAGATCACAGCTCCGCCGCTGTGACGCACCGTTGAGTGGAGCAAAATACACTAACCCCCTGATCCCACCGGAAGCGTCTGCGCTGCGGCTGTGCCGCGCTGTGACCTCCTCATGCGTCATAACCCACCAGGCGCGTTTCAAAACGTTGCGGAAGCGGAGCGTCGTGTGTGCAGCCTCGCAGTTGTTGGATGAACATTCCACTTCCTGCCTGCGCTGCGCTGCGCCGCGTCAAAAATAGAATTCATCCTATATTTTAGAAATTCCTTGCAGCGAGGAGCTTCTGGGACGCTTCGAGCCGCGGCGCAGCGGGTCTGGTGGAATAGCACCCATTGACTAGAGTGGCCGCGATCGCTAAAAACGCCGCAGCCGCAGCGCAACGCAGCCGCAGCGCAACGCAGCCGCAGCGCAACGCAGCCGCAGCGCAACGCAGCCGCAGCGCAACGCAGCCGCAGCGCAACGCAGCGCAGACGCTCCTGGTGGGATTAGGGGGTATACCTAACACACTTAACTAGTTTATATACTCTGGAACTAGCTAAACTAGTTAAGAATATATTTATTTATTTATTCTTTACTGTCGGGTCACTTATTAGAGGTTCAGCGAGCTGCACGAGACTGACGGGCTGTCAGGAGAGGGAGAGGAAAAGAGAGCACCCCGTTTATTTTCCCATTTTATTATCCAGAGTTTCTGAAAACCTTTGAATAAAGTAGTTCATCTTAGTAGTTTGTTTAAATGCATTAATTATGTTTGTTTTTTCATTAGCATAAAATAAATCTCACGTACAGCAGTACTCCAACGTACCCCTAGGGGTCCGCGTACCCCCATTTGAGAACCACTGGTCTAGTGCAAGTGAAATGTTTGTGGCTGCAGGAGTCAATACTCTCCAAGCTGTTTTAAGAAATCTTATGTATAAATGTTTTTGCCGGCTTAATGACTCTGATAATGAAATCCTCTTGGCCTTATCGAACATAAGGTGTATCGAACATAAGGTGTTCGCTACCAATCGCAGCTGTGGAGACATTGGTAGTTCTATTTCGTCCCTACTGACCGCCAGAGGCGGTGCTTTCAGCACTGGATATGTCCATCGCGCGCATGCGCAGCTCGAGTACCAATACCAACAAAGTCACCTGTGACCCATGTGACACCGGCTATATCAGCCGGTGTCGTCAGAGGATCTGTTCCTTTCATCTTCTCGCTGTGCGAGGGTACCGCGGCTACATTTTTGTAGCCTACAGCGTTCAGGTTTGAACGTTTGATCTGAGGGATTTCTCTGCAAGCAGCAGGCCGCGTGCAGCTTCGTGACTGACAGTCGGAGCTACGGGTCGTTAACGCGTCCTCCAGGAGCTGTGGCCGGCTGTGCAGAGCCTCGACAGACAGGTTGGTGTCAGCTTGTTGCTGGTGATGGCTGTGTCCCCGCACCCTCTCCCAGCCAAGTTGTCC